GCCACCAGAATCACAAGAGCCAATGCCTTAAATAAACCTTCTCTCTCTCTCTCTCTCTCTCTCTCTCTCTCTCTCTCTCTCACACACACACACACACACACACACACACACTCACACACACTCACACACCCCATTGGTTCTGTTTTCTGGAGAAGCCTAATACAACATCTATGTAGCAGAAACCTTCTCAGCACCTGGCCTCCCCCACTATCAATCCACAGGAGCCCCTGATGTGACGTGGCCCCGGCTTCCTGGGCTCAGATGATTGCACACAGCCCAGGTACAACCATTCAGGAGGGTTGCTCAGTCCTCTTCCATGTGAACCGAGCAACGGAGAGCCCTGGCAGCGAGAGGAGAGGGCAGCCCAGTGGGGACAGAGGCAGGGAGAGACGAGTCAGCCACAGCAGATGACTGGAGGCCACTCTGGCCCCGGAGTTCTCCTTACAGGAAACCCTTCATTGCTGAGTCGGGCTTGAGTTTGTTTCCATTACTTGCAGCCAAAAGATCCTAACTCACCTGCCCTACTGTGTCAGACCACTTGCCAGCCACTAGGAAACCAGAGATGGCCGGGGAGGGGAGACATGGTCCCCACCCTGCCGCCCTCCCAGCAGCTCACCAAAACATGCCACAGCCCTGCCCTCAGGGAGCTCCCAGCGGCTGGGGACAGGCACACGTGCCAGCACATGAACTCTGTGCAGGTGGCCGCCAGGAGAAGCGGAGTGCGGCCACATTTAGAAAGCAAAGCCTTTAAATGACCTCATTTTGTTTGAATTTCAGATCAACAGGGAATCATTTTTAGCGCAAGTTCATCCCAAATACTTCCCTTGACAATCTCGGAGATACATCATATACAGGCGTTAGAAAAGGGGGCTTCAGTCAGGCTGAAGCATCCGAGAAATTCCATYTATCTATCTATCTATTTATTTATTTAGTGATTTTTTGCAGAAAACAATGTTACAGTCTGTCAAGTTTTAAAGGATGTGTAGCAGTTCAGCAGGTGGAGGAAGGTGGAATACTTAAGGAAGAAACATAAAACAACAGACTAGTACAACACTAGCACAGCAGTGTGTGTCTGTGTGTGTGTGTGCGTGTGTGTGCACACACCTACTGGGAACTCAAGCACATGGGTGTCTAACGCTCACAAGAAGTACCAGGCCATGAGATAGCAAGCGCCAGTGGATGAGTCGGGATTAAGATGTCGTGTTAAGCATAAAGATGAGTCCCTCCCTGCACCCACGCCTGCTGAAGCATCAAGAAGGATCCTGTAAAAGCAGCCATTCATGATGACCCTGGAAGTCTAGAAGGCTTACGCAGCATGTCAGAGATCTGGAGACTCCTGGAAAAGGAAACATTTACAGGGTCAGACCTGCAGGGAAATTGTAAACAAAACACAAAGAGCRGAAAGTGGCTTCAATGCTATTTCAAAGGTAAGTGAATTTTTTCTAAGGAAACTCCAAGTTCACTGTCAACAAACAGGAAAAAGGAGAAGAGCCCAGAGGGGTCATCATGACGAGGGCTAAGAGTCTGACCTGGAGCACAGCCCTGCTGGGTCCTCCCCAGCCCCGCGTACTGCGCATGGCTCACTCCCAGGAAGACCCTGGACRTGCTCTTCTGAGCCTAGTGTGGAAGGCGAGTTAGGCTTGTCTGGATATCTGGGTGAGAGAATAAGTCAAGGAGGAGCCAGGGGTGACTTTAGACTTCAGCAAAGACTACAGAGGGTGAAAGATGAAAGTCACGATCACTGCTCTCCAAAGACACAGCCGTGTCCTACAAGATGATGAGAGGGCCCCAGGGAAGGGTGAGGTGCTTCCCAAAGTCTAAGGCGAGAGCGATGGGGGCGTTGTGTGTGTGTGTGAATCACATGTGTACGTGTGCATTGTACATACGCATGTGCACACACGTGTGTTTTATACCTATGTGTTCATATATGTGTAAATAATCCTCCTATGTCTATGCATGTAACTATATCAACCTTCTGCTGTGATAGATAAATGCCCCTTTATAACAACAAACATTTTTTTTTTATTTTTTCTTTTTTTTTATACCTTTATTTCACTCATTTTTTTTTTTTTTTACCGTGGTGCTGAGGACTGAACCTAGGGTCCCGTGCATGCGAGAAGAGCGCTCTACCGCTGAGCCACAACCCCAGCCCCAAGAAACATTTTTAAAGTGTGCRAAACTGTGCTCTGGCTTTAACCAGAATTGCACCTGTCTGGACATCTATGATGGACCTATTGTGTTTAGATGTGGGAAAAAAAATAAGCATAGACATGTAATTCGTAGATTTTGTGGGTTTATTTCATAGATTTTATTTTTCTTGACTTATTTCACCAAAAACACTAATTACATAATAATAAAAATTCTCACATAATTTAGGATCTGACAGTRATAGCCTGAGATTAGAAATAAAACGTAATTATATTTAATGTGCACAAAATTCAAGTTGTCTTTATCAAAATGTGTAAATTAAAATATTGGGAAATAAAATCATTTTTCAGTRGGGCATGGTGGCACCCGCCTCTAATCCCAGCAGCCCAGAAGCCTGAGGCAGGAGGATCAGGGGTTCAAAGCCAGACTCAGAAACTTGGCAAGGCCCTAAACAATTTAGCAGACTCTGTCTCTAAATAAAATATAAAAGCTGGTGGGGCTGGGGTTGGGGCTCACTGGTAGAGTGCTTGCCTCCAATCTTGGAGGCACTGGGTTCGATTCTCAGCACCACATATAAATAAAAAATAAAGGTCCATCAACAACTAAAATTAATAAATTATAAAAAAAGAGGTGGGAGCTGGTGATATGGCTCAGTGGTTAAACGCCCTTGGGTTCAATCTCTGGTACCAAAAAATTTTTTTTTWAATTATTTTTTACACAAGGTTTTAGGAAATGTCGTTTTCTTCCAAAATATTTAAAGCTATCTATTAAATGACCTTATACAAATTAAAGTTAATAAATAATGAGCTTTCAAATCATATCTTTTTTTAATTTTTTTTTTTTTTAGTTTTTGATAGAACTTTATTTTTATTTACTTATCTGTGGTGCTGAGAATCAAACCCAGTACCTCACACATTAGGCAAACGCTCTGCCACTGGGCTACAACCCCAGCCCCTCAAATCAAACCATTTTTAAAGATGAAATTTAAGTTGGACTTTTTGAAATTTAAATTCAMCTTTAGTCATGTTTAGATAAATAATACTAAAAACTGTTCACAAATTTGTTTTTCCATGTTCATGGAAAGAATCGGCATCGTGTTACCAGCCTATTGTGTKTAGACCTCTACGGCTACAAAATGTAAAGGGTATGGATTATTTATTCCACAAAATTTTGTACAGCTGTCATTTGCTTCAAATATTGAGCTRGTTCAAGCGACCCTCCAGATCTGAGACACAGGCGGAAAGTGGAGGCTCAGGCCCCTCAGGGAAGGCGATTTATCATCAGGAACCTGCCACGTTCGTCTCCAGAAGAAGGATGTGCCACTATCATGAATCTGAATTCTCTCTCTCCTCAGAGTCTCTGCCCTCCACCTGTCCCTGCTGAAGCGGTACACAMTCCTGGAACCGATGGGGCACCACTCCCCAAACTTCATGGCCTCTGGTCAGGAGATCTCCTTTTGTTTCAAGGTCATGGATTCGAGGTAAGGAAACGTGCTTCTCTGGGGCGTGGGCAGTGCTAGTCTGAGAGCAGAGGTTTAGGGATGCAGTCTGCTGACGTGGGACTGAGAGCRGAATCCCGAGTGGGAAAGGCCCTGATGTCACCTTTAAACCTGTATGTYCAGGTCTGAGGGGGTGACAGCTCCAATTCTCCACTGGCCGAGTGACCCAGCTGTCACCTGCATCCTCGGGAGTGCTTTCCTGCGGTGAGACCTTGAACTCRCTGATGGGCAGTCAGAGAGTTTCCTGTGGGTGGGGCTGTTTGATCTAGACCCACAGAGCAAAGCCCAGCAGACCTTGCAGGACAGCAGCCTCCAGACAGGCCAGATGCCACCAACCAGGGCGTTGCAGGAAGGCACCAGGCCTGGAGTCCACGGGTCCTGCTGAGGGAACTGGACTTCCTGCAGCTGCCGGGGGCCAGAGCGAGGATTCTGTGAGGGGAATGCCTCTGCACATGTGCCAACAGGCCACTGGCTGCAGGGTGAAGAACAGTTTCAAAGGGAAGAAGATTAGAGGCAGGAAACCATTTKCGAATCTATTATTTAATAGCCTAGATGGGAGGTGATAGAGAGCCGAAGCACAGCGGTGGAGTAGAGAAGAAGAAAATAGTCTAAAGTACCTGGCAGACAGGATCATTAGACCGTAATGACCAGATATGGAGAGTGAAGGAGAAAATCCGTCCAGGACAATGTCTGGGTGTGGGGTGTTCTCACAATCCGGATTGCCATGCCACTCAATGATTTTGAAAAACAGGAGAAGCCAATCTGGTTAAAATTGAAATATAAAAATCATAGTAATCACAGTAATAGCAACTAATGATGATAATGGGTGACATTTACTCAGCTTCTACTACATGCTATGACTTCATTTCATGCTTTAAAATATCGATATATATTATTTCATTTAGTGCTATAGAAGCCTTCGGAGAAATTTCCATCATCACAGCAAAGAGGTTACTACAGTTGTGTCTTTTTAATGGMTGCTTTAATCTGTTGCTGGATAACAAGATACCCCAAAATGCATTTCCTTAAGACAACAGCGATCCTTTATTCTCTCATGGGGCTTCCGAGGGTCAGGGTTTGGGGAGCTGGCTGGAGTGTGCCTTGCCCGAGGTGGCTGTCAGGTGTTGGCCAGGTGGGGTTATCTGAAGGCTGTCCGGGGGTGGGGACTTGCTTGAGCCGACGCTCATCATTGTCATGTTGGCGCTGGCTATTGGCTGGAGGACTTCCCCGTGGACTCCTTCACAGGACTACTTAAGTGTCCTCTCTACAGGGCCACTCACTTCCCCAGAACAAATGACCCAAGAGACAAAAGGGCAGATGCTCAATGCCCTTTAGGACCTGGCCTCAGAAGTCACACATGTCATTCCTTGGTCTCCTACTGAGGACGCAGGCCAGCCAGTGTCACTGTGGAAGGAGAATATACAAAGGTAAGGATCACTGGGGGCATTTACTTACTAGCTGCCACATGTCCCTTAATCTGGCCACATGGCACCAAGTCCCAGAACCTTTCATCAGTGCAGGCCAGCTCCCCGCTCATCTGACTTAACCCGCCGATAGATTTCTAGAGACAAGCATGCACTCCATACCCTTAAGGCGATCCTCTATTAATATTGGATCTGTCAACCGAGCTTTAGTCAATGTGGAGCATCAGGAAATTTGACATTGTAATCCCTGACAAATTCCTGGAGGGCAGTACGTATCTCTTGCTGATTAAGGGCACAGAAAGCCTGGCAGAGCTGATCTCTGCCTGAGTTTAATTCCTCCCCAYGCAGCCCTCTCCCTCCTGTGCGGCAGGCTCCTGGCCCTCCCTCCTRCCCCGGGGCCTGGCTCTGCCCTGCCCTGCACCTGGACGGCTTCCCCTCGCAGCCTCACATCCTCCCTCCCCTGGTGCCTCTCATCCCAGGCTTCTGCTTAAATGTCACCACCTCAGAGAGAATTTCCCTGCTCTCTTGGAAGATAATTGGGCCCCTGAGCGACATCCTGCGGTGCAGCGAGGGCKGGGGACCCTGGTCCCTTGTTCCCTTGGTCCCTCGGAGGGAGGCTCCTTCAGCACCCTTGCAGGGAAGGCGAGGGCCATTTGTTGTTTCTATTGTGACCAATGCCACTGAACACAGGCCTTGCTTCCACTTGTCAGGGCTTCGAGAGCAGCTGGATCCTTGGCCCCCATTTGTTCAAGAATCTGCTCACATAAAAACATTAGTGAATAGGGGCTGGGATTGTGGCTCAGCGGTAGAGCACTCCCCTAGCACGTGCGAGACCCTGGGTTCGATCCTCAGCACCACATAAGAATAAATAAAATAAAGATATTATAAAAAAAAAACCATTAGTGAATAAAGGGACCTTCCCAAAAGCATAAAGGAAAGAAGAAGAAACCCCCAAAACAACGCTCCCTTCGGTGGTCATTGTCCAAGCCACTCTGGGAGTACTTTTTTTCTGGTAAATGGTCGCCAGTTTGTTCTTTGGGTTGTGGGTGGTGGGACGTCGGATTTGTAGAGCTGCCAGGTTCTGTGGTGGGAACATTCCACCTCCCATGGCTGATGCACTCCACCAACCACCTGCCGTCTGAGTGTAGGGTTGGGAAGGGTCACCATGGACCAGCCCCGGAGCCCACGGGAGCCGCTCCCACTGCACCCTGCTTGTCCGTCAGCACTGACTTCATCCGTTCTTTCCCTCTTCTCCCAGCATGATTCGTCCTTTAACTCCCACCTGTCCAATCMGGCACACCCAGACCTGTCCACTCTGAGGACTAAAGAGGCGCAGTGAACAGGATCGACCCTCCTCTAAGTATCTTGATAGTCGAACTTCACTCCTGGAGCCTTAGCCCCAAGAAACACCTCAAAGCATTTTTCCCATATTGACTTATTAGGTCATAAGAGACTTTCAGAAAGTGACATAGATTCTGTCTCCTTAGACAGACATCACATTTATACTCCTCACAACTCTCATTGGGATAATATTATCTATCCCCATCTWTTAAATTAAGAAATTAAAGGTACACACCTGTAATCCCAGCAGCTTGGGAGACTGAGGCAGGAGATTTCAAGTTCAAGGCCAGCCACAGCCACTCAGTGAGACGCTGCCTGTGATTAAGATACAAAAAAAGGGCTGAGGATGTGGCTCGGTATTTGAGTGCCCTTGGGTTCAATCCCAGSTACTGAAACAAAAAAACAAAACAAAGCAAAGTTCAGGGAATTTAAGTGATGCACCCCTTCACTGAATTAGAACGTGGTACGTGATAGACCCAACCTGATTTTCTCTTACAATTGGGAGCCATCTCGCTGGGGCCTCCAAAATGAAAGACCAAGACACAAGAAAAGACCACTGACTCCAATTAAAATCAAATTAAAGCAACCTTATTATTTCCACCAGCCGGGCTGTCTTGTTCCCGCAGTTTTGGGTGGGAGAGGCAGCCCGGCCGGTTGAAATAGTAAGCTTGCTTTAATTTGATTTTAATTGGAATCAGTGGTCTTTTCTTGYRTCTTGGTCTAAAAGTACAACTAAGATTCGAGGATAGGACCAACTGATTCCAAGTCAGGCTCGTAACCCTGACCCTGCAGGACAGGAGCCTGTGAATCAGATCTATGACAGGGTTCTGATGGGGAAGCCCTGCTGGGGACATTTCTCAGTCAGCCAGAATGTTGCTGGGGAATGACGGACTTCACATCAGGACAGATAGAGAGTGGGTAGAAAATGAGGAGATTCAGAAAATCGTCTTTTGTGTCTACGACACAGGAAGCCCAGAGCCAGGTAGAGAAGTGGATATAACCTAGGACCAAGCCTTCTTCAGCGTGGGTAGAAGACCAGGGTCTCCAAGAAGGGCCACCCAGGGGTGACTGTAGACTCTACAGAACTGGAGCTCTCAGACCCCTCAGGTGGCTTCCCGAGAAATCAGCCATGCCATCTAAACTCAGTTTGGGGGTCCAGCCCCCCTCCGCCTTCCTGTTCTCATGTCACTGTACTCTGGGAAGCCAGGCCCTGTAGGTGGCACCACCCCATGTCCCATACTTCCAAAGAGTTCACATGGGGTAGAGTATGAGGTGTGTGAATGATATCCCAATACACAAACATGTTCAGGGACAGCTATGTGCTCCAATCAAGTGAATAAGAACAAATCAGATAATGCCGGGATTACTAAAGGCACACTTGAATTTTTTTTTTTTACCGAGTTGAATCAGGTCACTGTAGGCTGTCATCTTGCTGTCCCTGGAGCTGGAGACCTTCTCAAGACACAAAATCAATGGCATTTCTGTTTAACCTTAATCCCAAACCAGCCTTGATTGATGTGAGATGAAAACCCAGGTTTTTCAGTTACATAAGCCAGTAACATCCCTTAAAAAAAAAAATCTATGCCAGTTCAGATTGTGATTTCTGTGATTTGTATCCAAGAAGAAGTTCTAATGGTGAAGGATTTTATACTGGAATTGGGCATAAATTAAGGCACCGAATTACAGAATCATATAAACTAAGGGTAGTTTCAAGAAGAATGAGGACCTTTCTGTCCTAGGCTGAAAGTTAATCATCCTCACTCTTCTTATGAAATAGGAAACACCTGGCCGAGTGACTATCATGCGTTTTATCTTRGGGACTAGGACCATTTTTTGGTAAAAGTCTGAAATGTTAGAGAACATAGTATAACAATGTCTGAATTTCGGAGCGTGTTGACTGTGTCTTGTGGCCTGTGTCACAGCTGCAGAAGGAGGGCCTTGGTTCAAAGTGGCTCTTCTGAAATCTAAGAGCTGGCATCAATATTTTTAAAAGACTCCTGGTCCCCTAGGTCTCATCCAGCCACCTCCCTTAATGCAGTTCTGCCTGACAAAGTGGCCAATTACCATTTACAAAAGTGTGGCTGGAATGCAGGCCTGGAGCAGACTAGCCTCTCCTCCCGGCCCCAGAATGGCATTTAGAATTGCCTCAAGACAGATGTGGAGATGAAGGCCTTTACACCGAGGGCTAGAAGAGACAGAAGCCCCTAGAGCCAGGTCTATGGCTGGTCGTCTGACTTTGCCTAGAGGATGGCATGAAGGTGAACACTAACCAAAGTTCAGGTCTGGCAAAAAAGAAAGAAAAATAATCATTAGTCCTCCCCCCCCACACACTTTGTCAGCTTTCTGTTACTATAACAAATGCCCAAGAAAATCAACTCATCATTAGGAAAAGGTTATTTTGGCTTGTGTTTTTAAAAGTTTCATTCCAGTATCACTTGGCTCCATGGTTTTCGGGCCTGTGCCGAGGAGCGCAGCGTGATGGTGAGTATGTGGTGGAGCAGAGCAGCTCACCTCATGGCCAGCATGCAACAGAAGAGGAAAAGTAGGAGGTCCCACTGTCCCCTTCAAGGACACGCCCCAGGAAGACCTCCCATCTCTTCAAGGTTCCACACTGCCAACAGAGCAGAGTTGGGGACCGAGCCATTAACACCTGGCCTTTGGGGCACACTCCCGATCCAAACTACAGCAACCTCTAACGCTCTTGCCACACTATTGGAAAAGGAAGGGTCCGTAACAAAGTATTACCTTTTCTTTCTCTTTTTATTTTTTAGGTACTGGGGATTGAACCGAGGGGTACTTAACCACCCAGCCACATCCCCCTGCTACCAGCTCTTTTTATTTTGAGACAGGGTATTGCCTCACTAAGTCGATGAGGCTGGCTTTGAACTTGAGATCCTCCTACCTCAGCCTCTGGAGTCAGTGGGAGTAGCCAGGTATTTTTTTTTTTTCAGACAAAAATAATGTTTTTTCACAATWTTTTTTGCATGCACCTATAGTCTTAGGTAAACTTGAGCCCAAGAGTTTGAGTTTAGCTTGGGCAACATAACAAGGCTCCATTTCAATTTAAAAAAAAAAAAAAAAAAGTTTGGTTTCCTTAGTTTTTCTTTTGTTCCAGATTTCTGTTTAAATATAATTTAAAATTTAGCCAGGCTTGGTGGCCTGTAATCTAGGCTTAGGAGGCTGAGGCAGGGTTACAAGTTGGAGGCCAGCCTCTGACAATTAGCAAGGCCCTAAGCAACTGAGACCCTATCTAACAATAAAAAAAAAATGTATAATTTAAATTTTTGTTGTTATAGTAATTTTTTTTAAATAAAAACTTTTTTATGAGGCCCGGATATAGATCAATTGGGAGAGTGCTTGCTTTGCATGCATAAGGCCATGGGTTCAATCCCCAGCACCACATTAAAAAAAAAAAAAAAAAAGAAGAAGAGCACAAAAACTGTTTTTACTAATTTTTAGTATTATTCCTTTTTTGGGGGAGGTACTGGGGATTGAACTCAGGTGCACTCAACCACTGAACCACATCCCCAGCCCTATTTTGTATTTTATTTAGTGAGACGGGATCTCACTGAGTTGCTTAGAGCCTCACTTTTTTGCTGAGGCTGGCTTTGAACTTGCGATCCTCCTGTCTCAACCTTCCAGGTCGCTAGGATTATAGGCATGCACCACTGCGCGCAGCTAGCATTATTCTTTAATATTTTTGTCCATTCAAAAAGTTTTAAAGTTAGGTTTGTTGAAGTATAATTTGTACACAGTAGAGTCCACTATTTTTAGTRCATTCTTCTAAGAGTTTTGACAAATGCATATGCAGTCAGGCAACAAATACCATTACCAATACAGCGGAGACTGTGGTGGGGAAGGCAGAGGAACTTTGCTAGTCAGTCCCTCCCTTGTTCCCAGTTCCTGTCAGGCTCTGTTCTGTTTTAGGTTTTACCTTTTTTCAAGATGTTGTGTACTGTGTAGCCACTGGCATGGGGCTTCTTTCATGAATCACAATGTGATTCCCCCCACATTGATGTATGTATAAGTTCATTTTGGGGGGGTGACATGCCATTGTATTTATGTACCAGAGTTTATATATTAACTAGTTGAAGGACACTGGGTTGTTTGCAGGTTTTCTTGCTATTTTTCAAAGCGAATTTTATCAACATTTCCTATTTCTATAGAAGCTCTCTTATGATTTTGTTTCCTTTGTAAGTTCATRTCCCTTTGGACGTTTGCCACATCTGCCTTCTCATTTTTAAGTATTGTGCTTTTACTTTTTATTGTGTTACATTTATCACTTSTTCATTTTATTAGTCTTTTTTAAAATATATTTTTAGTTGTAGTTGGTACRATATCTTTTATTTATTTATTTATTTATTGTGGTGCTGAGGATCCAACCCAGTACCTCACATGTGCGAGGCAAGCGCTCTGCCACTGAGCCCCAGCCCCGGCCCCTTATTGGTCTTTATTTAAAAACCAGCTTTGGGCTTTCTTTGTCAAGTGTTTTTAATTGTTAATTTACTTAATATGCTTTTAGTTTTATTTCACTCAGGGTTGAGTGAATTGATTGATCAACAATCAAGTCATTTTACTTTTCTAAGATTTTTTTWAAAAATATTTGTTTTTTAGATGTAGATGGATACAACACAATGCCTTTATTTTTATGTGGTGCTGAGGATCGAACCTGGGTCCCGCCCACTGCGCTAGGCGAACTACCGCTGAGCCACAATCCCAGCCCCCTTTTGTAAGATTTTAATGGAACGTTTTAACTAATTGTCTTTCTGTTAATAATAAAATAATTTAAAGGCATATATTTTCTTCTACAGGGTTTTCCTGCACTTTATGGTTTCTGAGACGTGCTTCTGCAAAGGTATTTTATTTTATTTATTTATGTATTGTAGTTGTAGATGGACAGCTTGTCTTTATTTATTTTCATGAGGTGCTAAGGATCGAACCCAGTGTCCTACACATCTAGGCAAGCGCTCTGCCACTGAGCCCCAGCACCAGCCTCACAAAGTAATTTACCCCAACTATTATTTTTAAATGTATTTTTATTGTGTTCTTAGTTTTTTCCAGGGTAAGTCAATTCTTTAGAAAGAAATTGAGGTTTTTTTTTCATGTAATTTCTTTTTTTTCTTATGTTTTCAGTATTAAATTATGTTTCCATGGCAAGTTGGAGGGGGAGTTAGAGGTTACTTAAATGCATTATAAATACATATCCTCTACCTCATTTAATTTATTGCAGCTATCAACTAATTTTATATATGTTGGTGTCAGGACCTGTTATACAATTATATTTCATCTACTCAGTCTCAATTTATTGACACTGAGAATAAACTCTCCAATATAATTTGATTCTGTCAATTAGCATATTTCTAGAAAACACGTTCTTCTCTACCTGACTTCAGCCACTGTCTTCTTAGCCTCACAGTCCCCACCTCTCTCCTACAACGACTGCTTCCTACAGCGACAGTCCACTCTCCCAGCCACATCCTGGATCTGGTTACAATTTAGGATTCATCTACTTTGCCATCTCACTCTTAGAATATATCCTGCTTTCCTTCCTCTCAATTTCTGACACCCACAGGGCGGCAGACTCATAGTGCCTTCCAAATCAGACCTGTTCTAGCTGTGTTTATTCCATTTTGGATTCTCCTTCTTCTCAACCCAACTTGACCCCCATTTTGGATTCTCCTTCTTCTCAACCCAACTTGACCCCCATGTTGAGCCATAGAAACTACATTCCCAATGGTCTCTTGCATTCCTTCCCTTCCTGTCTTTTTACTCCCAGAATCCCAACCCTGGATCAATACATTCATCTGACTTCTCTGAAGACACCTTCAGGAGCTGCAGGATTAGTTAAGGCTCTCGACTGACAATAAGAACCAACTAGAGCTGGCTTCCAGCAGGAAATGAATTTGAAGGGTCAAAGGTGAGCCCTTAGAGAACCAAGGATGCAGCCTGGCCTCCGGAATCAATCAGGAATGCTCCACTCATTTTCCCCCGGGGCTGCTTCTCTCTCCCCCCACTCTCTCTCTAGAACAGCGTTCTCTCCTCCCACAGTCACAGGGTATTTTCCTAACATTCTTAGAGCGAGGTACTGGACACTGGGCATACGCTGCAAGGAGGCTGGACTCTGAGTCCCAATTTCTCATTCATGAGGAAAGAACTCTGGTTTGCCCACATTGGTAAGAAGTCTAGTGTAGACGGATCAGTCAGGGTCAGAGGGCACGGCTATGTCGGATTACAATGGTAACTAGGGACTTGGGGCCATTGCCTGTGCTCCTTCGTGGACTCTCTTCCAGGGAGGGTAGTGTGGGTTGAATGGGTCACCAGGTCATATGTACTCACCAAATCCTCTGCAGTGGCCGGAGGATACTAGGCTCCAGGAACTGGTCTTAGTTACATGCCCAATATAGAGGCTGAGGTGGCACATCCCTGCCCAGAATTGAGTAAGTAAGAGGAGGTCCTTCCCGACAGGAAACCGAGCACCGACGCACATAGCTGTACAATAGATAAGGAAGCTGGGAAACTTCCAGGTGATCGATTCCCACTCGGTTATTGCAAGGTCAGTACGCGTAAGACCTGGCTCTGAACGTCATCTGTCTCTACTCTGTGTGTTCTCCTTGCTTTGTTCGAAGATTTTAAGATCTTAGATTGTTAAAAATACCAAGATTCATAGGTATCTGACAATTCTTTCTTCAAAATCAAATATTAATGACATTAGATTATTTTGGATTAACCATTGTTTTCTTCCATTAGTTCAGATATCTGATCAACAATCAATTCAATAAACTGACATATGTCATTTGTATAACCATGCATCATAATTATGTAAAAAACAATCGACTTCAGGGAGTAGTTTTGCTGGGAGTAAATTCATTTAGGATGTGAATTCTGCCCATATTTAGACATMACATAATCAAATATGTGCTTTGAAAATAAGTGCTGTAACAAGTCACTGTCTTCTTACCATTTGAGAAATTGTAGAGGATGAATATAAGAACACAACAAAATTAAAACAAAATGTTTCCTTTATTTTCTCCTGGCTTGCATTTTCTTTGATCTCTRCTCTTACTCTCCTATTGAATGGACAACCTCAAAGAGGCTCTTGAAGAAATTTAGAATAAACAAATAAACTGAAACTGAATACTCTCCTCTGCTCTCTCCTCTGCCAGCTGTTGCAATTTAAATCTGCTTTTTCTGTAGGTCCAGGGAGTAAATTCTCATGAAATCAGTGGCTTCGAGGGTTCTGTTCAGTTCTCTGACAAAGAGTTTCTCAGTAGTAAAACCCTCTCTGACCTTTGTTATTCTCCTCGCTCACTCTCAAAGAGATTTGCTCTTGGTGGAATTGCAAATCTCTGAATTTCTCCTACAGATTCATCACTTGCAGGGAAATATTTGGAAAGAAGCCAGTGAGAGATGTAACCAATAGAGATCATTTAGTGATGTGTTTTATCCCCAAATAAAAACCATGACTGCTCTATGGTGAGAGAGAGAGAGAGAGAGAGAGAGAGAGAGAGAGAGAGAGAGAGAGAGAGAGAGAGGAGAGAGAGATTTTTCTCTTTCCACATCTTCCTGGCAGTGACCACATGCTGATTCTTGCCAGCAAAATACATTTCCAGTATATTATAGTTGACTATTGACAGTCACTTCTGTCTTTCTAGAAAGCTCTAGTTTCTTAGGAAAATGACATCTTTAAATTTGGATTTGAAAATAACATCAGCCAAAGGTATCTGATTTTGAAGAGTAAGTAAACCACTCTCATTCGTTCCCCACGCGTCTGTACCTACAGTGGTGTGACACAGTGCTTTGGAAATAAGCGGGGTAATAAGTCACAGAGAGTCAGTGGCCCTTCTCAGGCATCCCCCTGCAGCGCTTGTCCTCCTCGCCCTTCATCCATCTCCCCACCTCCACAGGCCGTTCCTATTTAGCATAGGAGTGGGCTCCTGGTCCTCCTCTCTTAAACATCGGTTCTTTCCTTCTGAACCCCCTTCCTCCGTGCTGTACCCCCAGTCTGCTCCTCTCTGCAGCAAACCTTCCAGGAGCCTTCTGCACTCCTTCTGTTGGATCCCCTTCATCCTGGAATCCCCCCGCTGGGCTCTCCCCCACATCACTGCTCCAGAACTGCCCCTCCAGGTGGCTCGCTCTCACGACAATGCCGTCTTCATGTCACGAGCATGTCTGGTGCCCATATCTTGGGCATTTCCAAATGCTATTTTAAACYAATGGGACCCATGGATTCCTGGAGAATTGCCTGATGCCAGGGTTGGGGCAGAGAAGGTGCAAGATGAACCTAAGCCTCTTGTGGTTACAGAATAAAAGGGAAAAATGTGTGTGTGTGTGTGGTATACACACACACACACATATATACATATATGTATATAGATAAAAAATGTAGATATAGATATACATAACATATACATAGACATATACTATGTACATGTCTATGTATGTCTAGATTTTTTTTTGACATGGAAAAAAGAATACAGAAGTCAACCTAACCATGGCCAATTTTGGAATAATACCGGCAACTAAATAATGCTAGTGGTGGATTACAAATCATAGCATAAAATAAATACCATGAGTCCATCCTAATATACATAATTACTAGACAAGTGAGAAGGAAAGCTCATTCAGTAATATAAGTGGGAGTGGTGTAAATGGAAAAGCACCATTTGGCAAACACCACGGTGATAATCATTGCCTACAAGTACCATTAAAGGGTGCCTCAATTAGGGGGCAGTCACTCACTATGGCACTCGACACTTACATAATCTCCAAGTGTCCTCGCACCAGACCCTCGTTAATAACCAAGGGAGCAGTGGTAATGTGACGGGGGACACCACGTTCGAAGGGTCTCCCTGCTCACAAGACGGAGCTGAGCCTTTGACCTGATTGGTGGAGAGGGCTTAGCATCACCTCTGTGGGTTCTTGTAAAAAATCCACAACCCGAGTTCAGCTGTGAGGGACCATCAGAGGACTCCCAGGGAGGGACATTTTACAAAACAACTGGTCATTTTTCTTTAGAAGTGTCCAGGTCATGAAAGATGAAGGATGAGGAACTGTTCTGCACTAGGACAGTGAGTAGCATCCTGGGAATTCCCTGTGTGGATGGTCGTGCTCCGGCTTCATGGAGCCTTATCATCTGGGGAAGCCTCACGAAGGACATGGGTGAATTATTTGTAATTATTTTTGCAACTTTTATGAACTCTAAAATTGAATTTCAAAATGAAAAGTCAGGTAGAAAGATTATAAAGTTTCAAATCCCGAGTTCTTGATCTCAGCCTTCTCACTCCCAGATGATCTCTGTCTGCGTCTTTTCAGTTTCTGTTTAGGGAGATTTCCTTCTTCTTGTCCAGGCCTAGACCTTTAAAGTCATCTTTATTTCTCTTTTTCTCTCTTATGACAAATCCAAACTACASAGAGTTCTGTGGGCAGTGTCTTTAGACATGTCCCCAGTCAAACCACTTCTCTCAACTCTCTTGAGTTCCCTCCTACAGGACTGTTGGTGCTTTCCTGGATTATTATCATTTTTACTGGTGCATCTTAGTTATACAGAAAGGTGGGATTTATTATGCCATATTTGCACATGCACATAATTTGATCAGTCTCATTCTCCAGTACCTTCCCTTTCCCTCCCTGWTCTGCTTGCTCTCCTCTTCTTGTCTTCCTTCTATTATTATTATTATTACTATTTAATTAGTGTATTATAGTTATATATAAAAGTGGTATTCATTGTGGTGTATTTATTACACATAGACATAGCACGATTTGGTAGTTTTTGTTCCTTTGTCAGCTGTTCTTCTAAAGGGAATTAATATCCAGAATATAGAAAGAACTTACAATTTTTTTGTTTGTTTGTTTGTG